TAAAAGTATTGTCCAGATGAAGAGTGGAATCCACTGAACCTTAATGATTTCAAAGTTTGAATATATCAAGAAGTTCAAGACCCAGCAATCAAAATAGACCTAGTGGTGAAGAAAACTACCCAGAAAATTTATAAAAAATTCTTAAATTAAAAATTCAGTTTAGAAGGTTCTGACCTCACTTCAGTTTCTCACCTAGACAGTTTTTCTTCTTTCACCATACAAAAATTCAACATGCATGACAACCAATACTCAGGTATTCCCAGAAATTTCCAACTATAAGTTAATATTTCAGGACTGCAATACTGCCTGCAGGTTTTGAGGCCAAAGGGATGCAACACACCATTCACTAACTTGTATATTACTGTAAATAATGTTCACAGAAGTAATAAAGAAATAGGTGTTAGGTGTTTTTATATTTTAAAATGAAACAAGAATAAAAATTATGATACATAATTTCAAAACAAACTAATAGGAGATTAACAATGGTTAGTATATTATGTTTTTTTTTACTTCAAATCAGTTGTTCAGATTACAAGATATAGGCATGAAAATTATCAAACAATGAAAGCATAAACCGTTCCTTTTGATGAATTAATATTATATATTGTGCATATATATATATATATATATATATATATATATATGTAAACTTTCTTCCCTTTTTTCTTTTCTTCTTTTTCCCATTCCATTTTTCTTTCCTTTTGAGCAGCTTTTTCCTTTCACTTTCTCATTATCTGTTTTACAGTCTGGATCTTATTTACTCTTTCAGTTTTTCACACCAGAGAGGCAATACAGTGGTTACATATGTGAGTCTGATTTATATTCTTAAAACCTACTGGCAATCAAGCAACTACAATACATGAAAAACAAATTAGTAATGCTTTTGTTATTCTAATAATAAATATTCTGTATCTGAGAAACATTTAGGTGTTGTTGTAAGCATTGAAACATATCCGATCTCTTGTGAGAAGATCACCAATGACAGTATGATGTAAGCTGTCTTTCTTTCAGTGGATCCAAATGACACTTAGAGTAAGGAGGAGTTTACAGCTGGAACCCAGACTGATGACCTTGAAATGATATATAGCAATCTGAATAATCAATAAGATGGCTGAGCATATAGTTCATATTATCATCGAACTTCCAGACAGCTCTGAGTGAAGAAATATCCAGATACTGATAAGATACTTTATTCTCCCCGATCCTCTGATACAGTCAATGAATTGTCCACTGATGGCACTGCCACTATCCTCCATGAACTAACCACTTGGAAAGCCACAGACTATCAACCTACTGATGGTAAAATCCTCACATAAGAAAGTAAAAGTCCATGTAGCGTGCCAAAAATATTCCTGTGAAATTAGCTATTGAATAATTATTGAGGTAAAGTTACATACTAAAGATCAAAACATTATCACTCATGATAAGAAAAAAAAAACCCTCTATGTTACTAAGCTTGATTTTACAGCATATTATAAGCTACAGAAATTATGTACTGAACAAATGTGTGATTTATCGTTTTTGAATTTAGAATATAACATAATTGGGATACTAATGTGATGTAGTCAAAATTTATTCCACAATGATTTCACTTTAAGGGTTTCTTGACAATATGTATTTCCCTATGTTCAGTAAGATTTGATTTGGTATAATAGGGTTATTCACACTCATTACATATAAAGGACTTGTCTCTCATGTATTGTCTCTGGTATTTGATGAGGTTTGATTCTGAATGAAATCAGATATTCCCATGATATTTGCATTTAAAAAGTTTTTCTGCAGTATTAATTATCTCATGGCTAATCCTTTAATTCTCTGGGTGACCATCATAAAACAATAAATTCTGCGTCTCAATTTTAACTGTTCTCATAACCCCTGACTACAGCCCTCAGTACATGCAAGGGAGGCATGGGAGAGAATTTCCAGGCTAATAAATTTGATTCTTTTCTTACACATCTTCCCTTATTATTAAATCTAATATATCCCCCAAACTCAAACTTTCACAAAGTATTGCATTGAATCAAGACTTAAAGGGTATTTTTACCCCTCAAATTATCCACCTTCTGCCCTGTAGCTATGACTTCTATTACATATGGGATTGGTCACAATGTCATATAAAAAGTTTATGTTTTCTTGTCCTTCAGGATTCACAAGGTTCTGACTTCTTTCAAACTGTATTATTAATTGCCTTGCCTTGTTTCCAAACCCTTGTTTGCCCCCCCACCAGTTTCTAAAGACCAAATCCCTTAGCCTAATGTATAAAAAGTGGAACCTATCTTTTATGCTTTGCTCTTTTCATCAGTTGAGCCAATGTATATCTAAACCAAAATTCTCTTGTTTCCAAATTGGTTTCTATTATCTCTTAAATCTTGCAACATATCTGCTGACCATGCAAGAATTGGTGATGAAAGTTTTGCTGTCTTCTTTGCCTGTAGGCTGGAGGAGAGCTGACATGAGGGAGTCTAAGACTTCTGGTGCCATCTAGTGAAACTCCAGCTCAGAAAGGATATTGGCCTCCTGCAGCCCAGACACTTCTCCCTGGTCAGCACAAATATATCCTGAGGGGTTTAGGATGATTCTGGAGCAACAACATGCTATAGGAGTGTAGTAAAATTATGGGGGCCAAAGGGGACAAACCTATGCCATTAGGACAAAAGGGGAGCCATCTTGAGGTAGGGTGTATCTAGTAATCTGATATGGATTAGGTCAGATGACACCTACAACCCCAAGTGGAATGTTGGAGACCTCAAAGGCAAGCACTACTCTCTAACAACTTGCTGGACAGGCCTTCATGTAAGGCAACTTGCTGGCAGCTCTCAAACAGTTTCTGAGATAGGTCTGCAGTGATAGTGGCTCCCAATGAGTTGCACTGAGCAGCCAAATTTGGAGTTAGTTGAAGGAAGCACTCATTCCAAGTGAAAAATGCAGGTATGGCCATTGGCAAGAAAGTCTGGCAGGAAAAAGTCTCATGATCGAATTAATACAAGTGGAAAAATGTTATCAATATCTAATACCTGTTTTGATACAAAATTCCCCAAATTAAAAGCTTAATGAAATTTTCTCATCCTGTAAAAGAGGTATATGAAAAAAAACTCCAGTTAATATCATACTTAATGGTAAAAAGCTGAAATTGTTCCCTCCAAGTTTAAGAATAGAAGTTGTCATGTCTTAGAATTATTCTCGATAATTTGATGCAATTATTAGTCCAAGAAGAAGTACAAATGGTCAGTGAATATATTTTACAATGTTTATTAATGCTATCCATTAGAGAACTGAAAATTAAAACTACACTGAAATATCATCTCACTCCACAAACAATGGCCATCATAAAATAATGCTTGTGAACATGTGTATGGGTGGGAAAGAATCCTTCTGTATTGTTGGTATGAATGTAAACTAGTGCAACCACTATGGTAGTCAATGTAGAAATTCCTTGAAGATAGAAATTCCAGTTGAACCAGTTATGTATTTTTGGTATCTTTTCAACAGATTTAAAATGAGGAACCTACAGGGATACATACACAACCATGTTTATAGTACCACAATTTATAACAGCTACTGTTGATCTTGGTATCAACATATATAATCAATCAACAAATGCATAAAGAATATATGATATTTGTAGATAATGGAGTACTGTCTGCCATAAAGAAAGACAAACATGAGGAATTCATAGTAAATGATTACATTTGTTAGTAAGTGAGAACACAATATTAAGTGAAATGAGTCATACATACAAGCAAAACTATAACATTTCTTTTATATGAGAGACAGAAAAAAACACTAGCAGAGAAATACATAGAATAATGGAAAAGTTCAAATCTTTCCTCAAACAAGTTCAGTTTTTTAAAAATTCAGTGTATGTGTTAATACCATTTATACAATTATTTATCTTGGCTTGTTGAAAAGAAAAATTTATGACATTATCTGTTATTCTTTGTGAGAATCTTTTTGATTTATGCTTGTACTCTATTTAGAAGATATTGGTACATGGTGTATTAACTAGTGTTTTTCTTTTTAATTTATTATGGAATTTTATTTTTTCATGACATAAAAGAAAATGAGAGATATTTTTAAAAGGACTGAAAAACAAAGGAATATGTTTTCTGGAAAATATCTCAAGCAGTACCAAGCAAAGAAGATGTAAACATTCTCTAGTAGGATTCTTCTTAATTGTTGGGTATTTATACTTATTGTTTAAGCTATTGAATTGATAACTGGTATATACAACATTATAATTAAAATTTGGAAAATGAGGAAAATACACAGACTAAAGATTGCTGAGGGCTAATGCAAAGTGGAGAAAATATATAAATTGCAACGGTTTAAAAGAGTTTGATGTGTCTGGAGCAAAATGAACAAAATGTTATTTCATATTCCTACAATGACCACAGTGCATAGCTAAAGAGCTTGAAAGAAAAAAAGTACATTTCCAAGTATGTAGACTTCAGTCTCTAAGATAAGGTCTCTCAGCTTTCTCAAATAGATATGTTTTTGAGATTTTGAACTAAGTTACACAGGGGAAGTTTGGAAATGTAACTGAATATTTTATTTATGAATTTCCAAAACATCATCATTATATCATGGTTATGTTTGTAAGAGGTGTACATTATGTATAAAATAAAATGTTTAATTTTAAAATAAGAAATAAGGGGCAAGGATGTAGCTCAGTGATGCAGTGCAGGCCAGGCAAGTATGAGATCCTGAGTTCATCTTCTAGTATTAAAAATGGAAATAAAAATAGTGAATACAAATATGTTATTGATAATGGAGCTATGGAAACATTAATTATACTGACATGAGATACCTGCATTGTGTAGTTTTTTAAATAGATAAAATTTAATCATGACTACATGTGAAGCAGGAGAATTAATATTCATCTTGCCTTATAAAATCTCAATCTCAGTAAATATGTGCAGAGAGATTTGGATGAGAATAATTCAAAATAAATAGTGAGTTGAAACTTTTGTAGTAGGGGAACTTAAATTTATCATGCTCTAACAAATACAGAAAAAGGGATGAAAATAGATACTAAAGGAAAAACATGTGAGTTCTAAAATTTGATGAACGATAGAAAGCACAATCTGATGGGAAAGGAAAGAAGTTTTGAATATTAGGGTATAATAGCAAAAAAGAATATTAATTTTAGTAACATAACCTTAGGGAGCAGCAGATTTTAGCTGGCGGTAATATATAAATATTTCACAAAATTAGAAGAGGAGCAGTTGTTTCTTTCCCATTTTAAATATCCCATTGATTCTGAACCACATCTCTAGACATTAGTAAAGTACAATGGAGACATTTTGGAGTATTCTCTTTGGTGTTTCTGAGTTTCCCCATCAAATGAGTCAGTACTTAAATTCTGGGATGCATTTCAGAGTTTTATGATATTCAAATGGAAGGAGGAACTTTCAGCATGGAAGGTAATTGGATAGTTGACAGGAAAGCAATCAATCTTTCAAGTGAGCTCTCAAAAAAGGAAGGGATATTAATTAGGAAAGAATGAATTTTCCAAGGACAATCAGGTACTATTAAGGGGAAAAAATGGCCATTCTTAAGGTTAAAGCTTCACAGTAATTAGATTAAAAATAAACATTTATTTGGGAAAAATAGGACATAGTAATTCTTTATAGGCTTAGTTGCTAAAAATATGGCATTACGTGGCACTGAGCTCAATGTCATCATATCCAATGTCTTGTCTCAGTGACAGTGAAGACTGCTTCTCTTCCAAGCTGGAGTTGACACCTTCTCTTGGAGACTGAGATGAGATACCTGTAACAGTAAGGAAAGTTCTTATTTCTGTGATAACAAACAGTGAATAGTAATTTTGCAAACACAAAACACATGAACATAGTGAGTACAAAATATTTCAAAGACAGAGAGCTACTCTAAAAGGTGAGATGGAGCTGATACTGACTTCTCTGTTCATAGCATTGCGATCATATCAGTTATAAGAAAGGACATGGCTCAGTTTTGAGAAGAAATGAGAAATATTAAGGAAATTTTCTTTCAGGAACAACTGGTCTGATACCCCATAAGAAATGAAGACAAATGACAACTAGTTTTGCTTTATATACCTCATGTCCATGCATCCTCCTTTTGTCCCAAAATTTTGACAGACCAGTCCAACCCCACTGTATTTTGATTCCCATAGCTCACGTGTCCATATAATAGAGGAAAGCCCAGTCTATGTAGATGATGTCATGTACCAGCTAAAACAAGGAGAATATACTTTTCTCTTATTGCTATAATTCTATCACTCTTTAAATAAGGCCATTGTATATTCTGCAATTATAATGGAAAATATTAACTTCAAACATTTGTTTATGTGTTTTCTAAAAAAAATCATACAGTTCATAGTCCAGATATCTATAATTCATAGGCCAAATTTTCCTTAGTTTTATACAAATTTGCAGATTATTTCTCACACTAAAAGGATCACACACATTCATAGTCAGATCACATATGCTGTTATGGGTGTGAAGAACAGCAGCAAGGGTTCAAAAGTATTAAGCTCATACATATGAGCTTATATAGTTGGAATAGTTATAATAAACTTTTAATAGTGAAAAGCTTACATCATTCAGTATATAAGGCTAACTTCTTATAGTAAAGAAAAATTGACGAAAGATCAGTCTAATCTCTTGTTTCTCATAACAAGTAAGTAGCATGTTGGGATATAGGGTTGTCTACCCACATGGCTGAGAATTCTTGGCATCGATTCAATTTTCTGGGAAAAAGTGCACCTCACTCATCTCAGCAGCAGAAGTAGGAAATTTAGGAGCAGGTAACTCTTCAACATCATCATAACCATTCTCTGTGATAAGATCATGTTGTCCTAGCGGTTCTGAAAACACAGTAAGATAGAAGAGCAAAATATAGGTTGGACAAGGCAATGTAATTCTCTTCAAATACAGAGATTCTTATGATTGAATATGGGCACAGTATTCCAAGGCTGACCAAAGTCAAGTATACGATATCAATGCTCTTAGACACCACAAAATCCTTGATATATTATACCATATTATGGTAAATAATATTTTATTAAAATATTCTCTAACTCCAGAATATACTAACAAATGTATGCTCTGAGTTCCAGGTACCACATTATGGTTATAAAAAATATAATATGTAAATACTAGAGACTCATGAAGATGTGACTGGAAAAAAGAATCCATGCTATCCACGCACTTTCTGAAGCAGTAGTGTATATAAAGTTGTTAGGGAAACAAAGACCTCATTTTCTTTAACGCTAAAAGAGGTAACGTCACTCTCCAGTAGATGATCCGGGCTTCAACCATTACTAGTGCTGTGCTCACATTTGGATCTCATCCTTCTTAATGTGATTCATCCCAAATGGTCCATTTTTACAACTTGAGAAAGTTCCAGATTGGACAATCTCTCCTCTTTTGTCTGTTGCCCAGAAGAGCTCTGGGTAAATGGTAATTGTAGGTTCTGTGCACTCCATGTATTTTAGATAATATCGAAGTTACCTTTTAAAAAATCTCTCAATATTAATATAAGCCACAATGACTGGTTTATTACTTTGTATCAGCATGAAAAACACACTCCCCATTGTCCTTTATTATCATGAAGGTTTTCTTTTCCTTTTTTTGTTACAATGTGATTTTTGAAAAAAAAAATAGTAGTATTTTTGAATTTATGACATTATATTTTCTATACATGTGTGGCTCTGTAGAAATAGCTGAGGAGGCTAAAGATATAAAGAGCACCTTTCCTATTCTAAGATCACTGTATGAGCAGACAAAAATAACTATTTTCCCTGGGAAGAAAAATCATCCCAAGCCTAATCACAGGAGAGCATTCTCCTCAGATGAGACTATTTCTTCTTACATAACCTGTAAAAGCAATTCTTGTCTGTACTACCTGGGGCAGACTCAGGCTCTCCACTCTCCTCCTTTTCCTCTGTGTCATAGGGGAGCTTAGTCACTGAGTCCTCAAAAAGGTTTCCTGGTCAGGAAAAAAAAATATCAGACAGGAGACAGATGCAAGACAAGTACAATATACTGTTCAGAGAGCTTTTAAGTTTTTACACTTGTTGAGTAAGGCCTTGAAATTTTACCTTAGCAAGAGACTGACCATGTAAGGTTAGAGTACATCTTCCAATAGTAAGGATTTGTCAGTAAAGAGGGAAAGAGTATTTGAAATGAGGAGAGAGGAATAGCAAACAAGACACATTGTGTACAGGTACAAATGTTATATGATGAATGTTATCACTATGAACAATTAAAATGTAACAAAAATTGTAGCTGCTAAAAATATCAAACCAAAGCCAGCTCATGAACACCAAAGAGCATAAGGTACACACCTCGGTTGTCAATCAAGTCCTCCTGTGGTTTCACGAGGTAATCTATCTCCTCATAAAAGGCCTCATTCAGACGATCTTCCAAAGTAGAAAGGGCTGAAAAAAGCAGCATGAGTTCAGGAATCCCTCCTGGAGGTATTTCCTCACCAACAGAAACGTCTGAGTTGCTCCATACTTGGCTCTGGGGATACGCCTCTGGGAAACAAGGTCTCTATCTTTGCATTGTACTCTTGGATAGAAGTAGATTTTCTGAATCTGCATGATTCTCTACTCAGTTATACTCTCACTGTCTTATACAGAAAAAGCGATTTTTAGAGCTCCCACATGAACCCACAATGAACAGTTCAAGTCTTTTAAATTTTAAAACATAACTACAGTAACGTGTTTTTTAGATAGTGAAAATGTAGACCAAAGCATGACTAACTAAAAGTAACATTTTGTCTGACCATTTCTTTTATGGTTTATATCTAAAATGTTCCATCAAAGACAGATGCTCTGAGATGGGGCATGGTCAGATAGTGTGGGGTCACTGAGAGTCTGATTTGGGGAGATCTATTGTTGTGCTTTTCCCCTCTCTATTCTCTCTGATTCCTAACCTCTATGTACTGGGCAGTTGTCTTCCAACGTGCCATTCCAACTAACAGTGAACTAAATCCAATTAAATGGAAAGCCATATAAAAACCTCTGACCACTTAAACTGCAGATGTTTGATCTGATGTCCCTATATCCATGAATGTTTTCATCCACTGAAGAGTTCATAGGTGACTGTGTTATAAGAAAGTGGTCTGGGTGGAAGGGACAGGATGGAATACCTCCCTCAGCAGTTCCTCCCTTTTCCTTTCCTTCGTTGCCACCATACAGTAAAAAGCTTTCCTCTGCCATGAGGTTCTGCCATGTAGTTTCTGTCTTGAAGCTAGCCACCCATGGACTGAGACCACTAAAGTTGTGGGACAAAATAATATCCTCCTCCTTTGAAGCTTTTGGAGCCAGATATATTTTTTTTTTCAGTGACATGACCATGACTTGCACTTTCCCCATAAATTCCAGTGCACCAGTAACTGAAGGCCCACCTCGGATCTCTGTTTTCCATTTGTGAATCTGAGTCCCCAGGATAATGAGGAGCAGAAAGAGAAGGGCTCCCAGGATGATGCAGAGGATCACAGGTAAAGAAAAGAAACCTGGAACTGGTGTAGAGACTGAAATGGTGCCTGAGGAGGAAAAGAGGATATCAGTCTTTAGAGAAGGTCAAAAGTCATACGTTCTGGGATGAGGCTCTCTAAAATGAATTCCTGCTATCTTTGGAAGCCCTGTGACTGCCACAATTAAAGGAAATTTCATGGTGGCTTTGAAAGCCTGATCATTTAGCATACTACAGTATTGCATGAATACATAGATACTCTAGGGTAGGTGCATGAAAATCTATACATGACTTTATGGCCTAGTTCAAGATATAAAAACAACTTACTTCTATGAATGGAAGGATTTGTTGTCCTTTCATCTAGAGAGAAAAGAGGGAAAACAGAATCACTATGTTTTGTAAGCTAGACATTCACACCATCAGTGCACATATTTCTCTCTCAGATATCAGGAATTCAGAACACAGCCTTTGCAGAACCATGCGACAGAGGGAGAACTTGGAAGTACAGCCTCCCACAGCCCGAATCATATCCTGGCCCTGCCACTCACCTGAGCACCTCACGCCTGCATCTTCTTCATGCTTGCAGTCGCTCTTTCCCCAGGGTACCCTGGCACAGTCCCACAGAGAGGACTCCCTGCCTCTGCACTGCACCTCATCTAGCCAGATGCTTCCATTTCCAGGGCCAAATGCAGCCTTTCCCAGGGCCTCCAGGGCATGTCCACAGCCCAGCTGCTGACACACCACCTCAGCCTCTGCCAGGTCCCAGGAATCATCACACACTGTGCCCCAGGTGCCTTCATGCCACACTTCCACACGCCCTGAGCATTGGTTGTCTCCTCCTCTGAGCCGAAGCTTCTGTGTGTCTGGAAAGGTAGCAACACTCCCTGTTACTGCTGTGCTGTGGGGAAGGACCTCCTAGGGGCATGGGGAAGAAAGGTGGGGTTTAGGTACCTGTGCAGTGGGCAGAGTTTGGGCAGCTCTTGGGTCTCAGTCCTACAGAAAGAGACAGTGGAGAAGTTCCAGGTCAGGAGTAGCTGATCCTTGTATCCACCAAAACAAAAATCTCTAAATTTAGTCCAGATGACAATGGAAGATAACAACCTTTAAAATTAGTCCAGTCATTTGCTTGCTGAGATATCACTGGCTTGTACCCTTTAGCAAATTTTAACTTTTGATTTCAATTGTATAACACTTTCCAGATTACCACACCAAATACAAACCCAAATATGCACAGATACACACACATTCCAGAGAAAAGGCCTAAAATGACTGAATTCCCTTGTTCCTGTGTTAGCACAGTGTGTATCATGGTGGTCTACATCATCAATAAATAAGTCCAGAGAACGTTCTCCATATACTTTGAGAAGGGGCTTGCAAATATTTACTTAATAATGACTAGATGTGTTGATTTTGCTAAATTTAATTCTTATAACTTTTTGATAATCAGATAGAAAGAACAGAAATTAATGTTATTGATTTGTAACAACATATACACAGCATTACAATATAACTGGTAAATAATCACAATAGCAATTTGTATTCAAAATTTCAGCAAGATATAATGGAAATTTTAAAGGTTTACAAAATTAGAAAAAATTTAGTTCTGTATAGATAATAGAACAATTAGACCTAAGAGAAAGATACTTAAGTGGACAATAGCTAGCAGGTAAGGTGAATTCCAGAGAACTCAATGATTCTGAGTTAAGCTAACACATGACAGGACACAGAGGTAAAGACCAAAAAAGTACATAAAGCCCCTAAATCCATAAGAAACAGATATGAATCCCAAACAATACAGATAATCCAGGCATATGCATGGCACTTACTGTCAATTATCAGAATAGTACATATTTTCTATATTGTGGTTTCAAACCTCCCTACTGTAGAGCTCATCTCTGAAAATGATTACTGTACCTTTGTTCAGTGGTTATGAAAATGTATAAAAGGAATTGTTCTTTTATAAACTTTTTTTTTATTTTGAAACTGTCTAACTCTGTAATTGCTTTATGGCTTTGTATTTACTTGTTTGACTCCATAGCCACAAGAATATAGTTAACTAAATATATGGGATTCCACATTGTACCACTGTACCAAGCTTCATAAACTGATGAACCTAAGCCTACTCTTGAAATTGATGAAATCACCTTGCTAGATATTCAGAACTGTAAGAATGTTCTGTCGCACCTTTGTATCTCCTACTTGTGCACCACATAAAAACTCTAGACAATCAGAGATCAGGTCCCTATCTTCTGGGAATGATTGTGACCAGTTCTTATAAGCATAAATAAATCTGCCTCAGAATCCTAGGTGTTGTTTAAGTTTTTCTGCTTTCCATTAAAGGTGCTTAGTTTAAACTTTAAGTTTTTCTATTTCTTGATTCTTTTGTCTTTTTGCTGAAAAATATTACCAAGAAGTTTTGTGTCTGGATGTCCTCCCAAAGTTTCATGCAGTCATGAGGTATAGGTGTTTTGGAGGCATCTGAATTTAGTTTGTGATTGACTCACTTTTCATGGCTGGGAATAAGGGTGTAGGGTAAAGTGTGGTTGATTGCTGGATACAGCCTCACTGTAATCCAGGTATATTGGGTATAATAGAAAGATCAGTAATTGTATGCGTTTCTCTCTTCTCTTTTGCTGTCTTCTGCCATAGTGAACTGTTGCCCCTCTCCCATGAGCCACCATGACTTGGGCCAGATTATCATGGACTGAGACCTTTACAAACTTTATGCTAAATAAACAGATTCCCCTTTAACTTTGGGTTGTTAGGTATTTTGTCTCAGCAATTAGAAAGGTAACTAAGACACAACACATGGTCTTCCTTTAATAAGCTTCAGTTTCCACGAGGAAAAAAACAATAAAACAGTGAGAAAAAGAGTTAGTGGAGACACCTGTAATCTAGCACTTGGGATGCTGAGGCAGGAGAATTGTTATGAGTTTGAGACCAGCATGGGTTACCAAATGAGCTGAACTGCATAGCGAGACACTAATCTCCAAAAGACCAAATAAAAAAAATCATTGGAGAATACAAATATTTGTGAAATATTGATCTTTACATTACACCTTACCATGATCTTCAGAGACATCATACCACTTTACTGGAGATAAAACTGAATGAGGCCTGTACATGCGCGTGCATGGGTGTGTGGTGTGTGTGTGTGTGTGTGTGTGTGTCTGTGTGTGTGTGTGTGTAAGACAGAGAGAGAGACAGGGAGAGAGCTAAGAAGGAGAAATAAAACAATGTTGAGGAAGTGAGAGCATTATGAAAGACAAAACAATACTGAAGGAAAAAAGGACAAAAAATATAATGAGTGCATACTTTTTGATTATACATGTGTGCTTTAATGTAAAGCACACATTTTAAACAAAATTCACAATATTTTTATACAAATCTGTATAAAAATGGAAATCATTGATTTTAAATTTTTAGGAAAAAAGTATAAGAACAACATGCAATAATATTGTGAAAAGAAATACAAAGAAAGAATTAAGGTCTACAATTTTATTAATAAATGACTTTTGAGATGTTTGTTTAAAATCATTAAGTATGTATAAGTCAAGGTAATATCAGTGTATTAGAGGCAATGTGAGATGATGAACTTATCATTTTATATTTTACATATTGTTTTTGTTTATAAAATAAGTAAATAATAATTTGTAATTTAAGTGGAATAGGGAAAGAGCTTCTCGAGACCTTAAATAGCTGGTGTGAAAAGCTTAAACATTTTAGAGCTCAGCAACAAATTCAGAAACAGCAAATTTGTCCAATTCAGGGAGGAGAAAGAGGGGCATGGGTGTAAGGGAAGTTTGATGGGCTACCCCTCCCTGCCTCCAGAGTGTTTTTTGTTGTTGTTGTTGTTGTTGTTGTTTTGTTTTGTTTTGTTTTGTTTTTCCACCAGCAGACAGCTTTGTGCACTTCCTGGGGACCTGACATAAGTGAAGAATTTTATTAGAGTGAAAACAAGTCCGCTCTTCATAGTTTCTCACATTTTCCAGAGTAGTTTACAGAGCATCTTCTCTCTTTTCTAGAGTAAAGTCCTTCAGAAACTGAGGACAATCTGTCATAAGTTCCCTTGCTTAGAAGCTAAATAAGGTAGTTACTGGCTCCCTGCCAGATAGCTTCCAATTGATTTTGCACCTGAGATACAGAATGCCATGTTCCACTGCCACCTCTGAGGTCAAGTCACCCTGTCACATATCAGTGCTTTAATGATAAATATATTTAAATATATTTCCAGCATCAAATAGGTAATTTATTATAAAACAGAAAGAATAATAGAGAGGAAACCACTGGAGGCCAATGAAATAACACAAATATCTAAGGTAATAATGGGATTTAAAGAATAGACGATTAAGGAGATATTTTTAGATAGAGATAGGAGAACTTATTTTACTGAAATGGGAGAGAGAGGGAGAAAAGGAGAAATGAAAGTGAATTGAGCCTCAGCCAATAAGTAATCAGAGAGGGATTAACTGAAATTATAGCTTGTAGAAAAAGTGAGAAATAAAAACTGAGTGGGTTGAATCAATCATTCTATTTTGCAAAGTAAATTTGAGATGATTATTAGGTATAAAGTGATGACATCAGTCATTAATGAGACATGATTTTAGAATTCATGGCAGAATGAATTGTGAAAGTTTACATTTTGGAGCTGCTGGTGTGATGAGTACATCTAAGGAGGACATGGGGCTCAGAGATATTATCTCAGGGAGAAGCACCATGAAGAAAAAATGCAGAGTCGTAGGCTCAGCCCTTGGTGGATCTCAACCCAGCAGCTAAACAGAGAAGTTGACACAGAGAAATATTCAATAAGATGAGCAATTGGTAAGGCCAAGTTATCAGAAGGAAAAATGTAAGGGAGAGAGTGCCCAGCTGTTGAATGCCTATGAAAATTCAAGAATAATTACAGATAAGTTTCTGCTATGTTTTTTTTTTTTATTTTCTAACTCATTCTGAGGAGTAGCAAAGTGCAACATTTAATTGGAATAAATTCCACATTACCAGCTCCAAAAGGTGAACATAGCGACTACTGATAATTCTTTTTTGACATCTCAGTGGTCACAAGGAGAGAAATGAGTTAAGAGTAAGACACTCTATTACCCTCTTTCTGCTCTAACCAGGGAACTTCTTTCAATACTTCAAAGGTATCATTCCTGCCATCTCATAGATCAGAAAGTTGATCAGAGCATTACTTCATGTTTCATATATTCAGTTCAGTCTCCTTGATATTTTTCACATAAATTACAGTCAGCACAGGTGTACCTATTTGTGCTATTTAAAACAAGAAAGGAATCTATGGATTAAATAAACTAAAATTCAAAATTCATTATGTAGACGTATTGAAAACTAGCATTCACATATGAAAACATGAAATTTCTCTAATAGAAACCTACAGGGGTGAGATGGATGCACATAAATGGACAGTAGGTCACCTGCACACGTGATGTAAGCTGTGTCCCTTGGAAGGCAAGATCTTTGTTTCCAAGCATCAGAAGGACACTGCCAGAGAGAGGCATCAGTTTTCCTACACTGGATTCCATCTACCCATTGCCGTCTAGAATCTTCCCTCACAGGAACAGAAGTGTTCAGGGTCCCACTATCCCCACAGCCCAGCTGTCTGCAGATCACAGACAAGGTCACGTCATCCATTGGGCTGCGGCAGACACTGCCCCACGTTCCATTGTAGAAAATCTCCAGCCACCCAGAGCACTCCTGGTCTTTGCTCACCAACCTGAGAGCGAGGAACTCTGAAACAGAACAAGGCACAGAAATCTGTCAACTCTCTGTGGTCTTTTTGCCTTATAAGGAGTGGAAACTCACTGTTGAATGTGTGGAGTGCTTAACTTTTACATGGAAATACTGAAATGCCTTTGCCATTTACCTGGTTTGCCATCTTGAATTTGGCATTCAATTTCTGCCACAGTAAGGTAGAGAAATGCAGAGATTCTGGCCTGAAAGCTCTACAGCAGTTAAAGGCTAATTCCTGCTTCCTAAGTAAACTCCTGAATGACTCTGGATGATAGTAAGGACAGTGGGGGGAAGATAGATTAGTGCAGCACAGAATCCGATGTGTTCATTTCATTAACCTTAGAGCCTATGAGTGCATTGCCTCACTTGGCAAAAGGGCTTTGAAGCCCAGATTAAGTGAAGACATTTCAGTCGTTAGATTATCCTAGTGATCTCAGTTGCTAGATTTCTGGATTAATTGGTGAGTCCCATCTCATAACATCTTTATTCTGTATCCCAACAAGGAGATCATGTATTTATGACATTGGTTGCAGGGAGCTATTATCTTAGAAGATTACATAATTGTATTGGTTTTGGTTTGATGGAGAGGAGGAATTCAGGCAGTGTCTAGAATCTAGTACAGGCATGGATATGAGTATTCTTTGATCTTCAGAGGATTGTGTCTTTGCTTTCACTTTGTTTGAGGTACTAACTGTATGGTAATTTGTTACAGCAGCAATAGGTATCTAACAGAATGGCTTCAAAGTGTTTTCCACAGGAAACTGATGAATACTGTAGGAAATGTCTGTCATGTGAGAAAGATGAAAGGAAGGAAAAGAAACTCAACTGCAGGAGGAAGTGAAAGCATCTCATCTTTTCTTCTGCTAGAAGAAAAACAATGGGGAAGGAGCCTTCCTACCTGCGACCTACTCAGCCACTGTCCCAAGTGCCATCCTATAGTCAGAGGGCATCTTGGAAGCCCTTTCTTTTTCTCCTACCTGTGGACAGTGTGTGAGCACAGACCTGAGCAGATGACCCCTGCATCCTCCTTGTGCCTGCAGTCATGCTGCTCCCAGCCCTGGGAAGGGCAGTTCCACACATGGGACTCCTTTCCTGTGCAGTTCATCTCATCCAGCCAGATGGGCCCTGATCCCTGCCCAAAGTGAGCAGAGACCATAGCATTGAGGGCCACTCCACAGCCCAGCTGTCTGCACACCACGTGGGCATCACTCAGCTCCCAGCTGTCATCGCAGATGGTGCCCCAGGATCCCTGATGCAGAATCTCCACTCTCCCTGCACAGCGACTACCCCCATTCACCAGGCGCAGCTGTCTGCTTTCTGAGGAAAGTAACAGACAGGTTAGTGTTGTTGACATTGAAAGGAGAAGGTTGTGTTCTGGGGACATGCTCACCTGAGCAATTGACATCCTGCACCTCTGAGGCTGTGGAACCTGCTGTGTCAGGCAGGGAGTCCTTGCACTGGGGCCGCAGTTTGGTTTTGTATTCTATACGTGGGGTGAAAGATCAGGAATCTTAGTTATATTATTGATGGTATCTAGAATAGAATTCTGGTATCTAGAATAGTGATGGTATCTAGAATAGAAACTGTGAAGCAGCTGTGGTGATTTATTATCTCCAGATTCCTACCTCTATATGGAGATATTTACTTTTGACTTCTCTATACTTTTTTTGTTTAAATTCAAACATTAAGAATGAATTACATTACAATAATAACTAACATTATGTCTGCCTTAAATTTGCCAATGAACTTATTGATCTCTCTCATTATTTCCATTGCTACCATTTCAGATATTTCAGCTGTGTGGCTAAAATTAATGATCTGATAAAAACTAAAGGAAATTATTCCTTAGTGATACAAGTTAAAGTGGTTTCTTTGCAGGAGATGAGAGCTGAGTGATTGATGATATGTACAGGCTATGATTGATGGAAGCAGTAACATTCCTTTTGGTGGAGGTAAACGTACCTAACAGACTCTACACTTATTTTACACCTGTTTCTGTATAAATTGAAATAACATGGTAACATTTATTTTTATATATTTATCTGAATATTCATCTTTATTTGAGTAATTAATGACAAGTAAGATGCTTATATAACTCTAAAGTTTAAGGTCACTTTTCCCTGCTCTCTCCCTGTTCTCTCCTTGCAATCTCAGAGACATGGGACTCCAGTCACATCCAGAGAAGTGCTCAGATACTCACCATGACAGCATTCTTACCTGAGCAGACCACAGAGGCTGTGTTCCCATGGGCACAGGCAGGAACACCAAGAGCAGTCATAGGGCAACTCCACAAGAAGGATTCATGCCCCGAACAGTGAAATTGGGCTTTCCAGATCTCATCCCCTTCTTCCACAAAGTATGCTCCTTTTGGGGTGGAGACAGTGACTCCACAGCCCAGCTGGTGGCACACGACATCAGCATTGGCCGTGCTCCAGTGGGATGCACAGAGTGCTCTCCAGCCCGCAGAACTTTTCACCTCTACCTGACCCTCACACTGAGAAGATCCATTTTTCATGAGTCGAATTTCAGTGAGATCTGGCAGAAGAAGACAGGGTTTAACACATTTATCCTTATACCAGTATAGTATACAGAAGTTCTGCTAAGTCTTACCTGAACAGATAACTTGAACAGTTCTTCTACGGTGGCAGCTGTCTCCATGACAGGGTGATCTGGGGCAGAACCACAGCTGGGACTCCTTACCCTCACACTGGAATGCTTCATGCCACATCGATCCTCTGTCCTCTCTGAAAGGCACATTTCTCAGAACAGATACAGCCTTGCCACACCCCAGCTCTGCACAGATGACTTGGGCAGTAGGTAAAGTGAAGTTCACATCAGACACTGGAATCCAATGTCCTCCGGAATTCACTTCCACTCGGCCTGAGCAGCGTCCTTCTCCAACAAGATGCATGTATCCTGAGAGAGAGAGAGAGAGAGAGAGAGAGAGAGAGAGAGAGAGAGAGAGAGAGAGAGAGAGAAGAAGAATGAGAAGATAAATTAACCTGTCTAGACGTGGAATTTGCCATCATCATGTGACAGTCAGTAGTATGAAATATTTTCCCCCCAGTGTTTGGGCATGTGATGAGAATTTACCAAGTGGAATGAAAATGAGTCTTGCATATGCAAATATCTAAATAAAAATTCTGAGGTAATATGCAGGTTGGTTCTGAATAGCTGAATACCAGGTATAGATAGATTTAGATACAAATATAGTTTTAGATGTACATGTAGATATATAGATATGAATACATGTTTAAGTATATAAATATATTTAGACATGTTATTCTATTTTCTTATGTATCATGTCTGCATTTCTGTTTTTTACAATCTACCTTATTCTGTAATTCTGTATTTATTCTCTCAATATAAACTTAATGTTGAATAAATTTATGCGTATCTATAACACTATTATAGATATATTTTAATTTCCATATAATAATGATTATAGTTAGCTAGTCATTTTAACCTATGTACACACTCAGCAGTCATATTTATTTCCATTTAAATAGTTTGAAACTGATGGAAAAATTAGTTTCATTGCAAAGTGATTTCTATTATATAGGAAGAAAGAAAAATTAGAAGCTACATTAGAAGACATTAAGGCATTGGGCAGTCTCTCTCTCTCTCTCTGTCTCTCTCTCTTTCTGTCTCTCTCTCTCTCTCTCTCTCTCTCTCTCTCTCTCTGCCTCTCTCTTGCTCTTTCTCTCACTCTCTCTGTCCTTTATTTTTTTGAGAGATTACTTTACTCCTAGAGAGTAATATTTGAATGATAAATGAAGCTACATATTAAAAATGATCAGAAAAAATTTCAAGATTTGATTCAGAGTTTTTAAGGGGAACTTCAATATAGGTAAATATTTATTCTGTAACAGCCTTTGTAAAGAAATATCTTGGCCTTGATTGTTTTTCTCAACAGAATTTCAGCCCATGTTATGATCATAAAGATATGACTATAATATTTTTATGTGGAAAATAAGAATTCAGACAAAAATTTCAACCTAATATAACTAATCTCACTGTCATTTAAAATTAAAATTAATGAAAGTGGTGGTGGTGTCATTAATAAATAGCCATCAGTATTACTGGGAAAGTGCCATACATATCATTTTCCTTGTTCCTAGGCTATGCAAAATCCCTGAATGCCAGTGGATGCTTCTTTTTTCCTTTTTTACATCTTCTGATTTCCAGCTGGATACACCTGGGAATTAATTTTCAGTACAGCAAACCATTGAGGGTGGCCAGTTGTGTAGGAGTTAATCAGAATTTCTATGTCAATTAGTATTCACACTTGTCTGAAATTTATTTTTCTCTTTTATTTATTGGTTACATTTAATGTTACATTTATTTTTATTTTAAAGAGAAAAATTAATAAAACAATGTTAAAACAGGTTTGTGGGAGAGTTACAGTAACTAAAACATTGTGTATTTTTTCTTTATAGCAGTTATTTAGTGTACAAGATATAAGCATAATATGTTGTCTAAACTAAATTGTTACAAAAGTTTCTATTCAAGGAACTAAGAGGACCTAGTTGTAGTAACTAGCAACTATATTTTGTATAAATATATATTTTTCCCTTTCGTCCTATATCCTTCCCTTGTCTTTTCTTTTGAACATTTTTTTTGCAATTCACAATATCTACCATGTATTTTCACTTAATTTATTCACTTAATTTCTCAAAGTAGTGAGACAATATGATCCTTACACATATGGGTCTAATTTATTTCACATATAAATATGGCCTTAAGTTGCATACATTTATCCATAAAAGAGGAAAGAAAAGACACAAACTTAGTCAATTACGAATTTAGAAAGGAGGAAATCACAATGGATTCTACAGAAATCCAGGAGATCTTGAATACCTACTGTGAGAATATATAGTCTAATATGATAGAAAATACTGATAAAATGGATAGATTTCTAACCATAATCAAATTTTTAAAACTAAGTCAAGAAGATGATTTAATATGAGTCAATGAAATTGAAATGACAATTAAAAATTTACAGACAAAGAAAATCCCAGGTCCTGATGGATTTTGAGTTTTTCAAGCAATTTAGAGAAGAACTACCACTATTAATACAGAAGCTCTTTAAAGAAATTGAAAGGGATGTAGTACTTTCTCAATCATACCTGTAAACAAAAATTACCCTGACTCTAAAACAAAAGAACACAGCCAGAAAAGAAAACTACAGGCCAATTTTCCTAATGAACATAGATGCAAAAAATTCTTAATAAGATACTATCAAACAAAATGCAGCAAAATATCAAGAATGTTATACCATACAACTAAGTAGGATCCCTCAAGGATACAGGAATGGTTCAAAATATGCAAATCAATAAAGTTAATACTCCATATTAGCAGAACCAAAAAAATGACATGATCATCTCAAAAGATGCAGAAAATCATTTGACAAAATCCAACATGCATGCATAATTAAAAACCTACAGAAGACTGGAATATATAGTCTTTATCAGAATCTGAAAAAAAATCATTTAAAACAAACCAACAGATAACGTCATATTAAATGGGCAAAAACTGAAAACTTTCATTCTAAAGTCAATAAGATCACAAGGATGCTCATTATTACCATTCATATTCAACATAGTTCTGGAAACAATAGCCAGATCAATTAGAGAAGAGAAACAAAGGAATAAATATAGGAAAGGAAGAAGGTAAATTATCATTATTTACAAATGGCCTTATACTTTACATTGAAGACTTACAAATATCCAACAAATGGTGCATTTCTATGTTTCAGGAAGACAAATAAAATTCCACATTTGAATGAAACATCACCAGCAATTTTAGAAGTTCTATTCTAGATAATGCTGTGATATTTGGTGTCTTGGTTACTTTTCTCTTTAACTGTTGGGACCAAAAACCCATTTCCAGAAATTAGGGAAGGGAAGGCTAATTTCTTAGAGGTTGGAGGTTTCAGTCCATAGTGAGTTGGCTCCAAGCAACAGGGTGGCATAGTGGCCAGTGTAAGTACTAAGTGTGAACAGCAAAAGAGAAGGACAGGCCTTCTTTCTGTCATTACACTGCATGTTACATTTATCCCTGGGCAAGTGTAATACTTTTGCCACCAATCTGAGTATTAGACAATAAACCAATCACAGGTGCTAGAGTTGGCTGTATCCTTGATTCTATGAGGCTTGAGAGAGGGCATTGGCATAAACCATGGCATCTGGTTAAGTTCTTCTATAATTTAACTGTCATTATAGTAACTGAGTCTTTGAAAATAATTTCTTGTCTTCTGCTTTACTAGGTGTTTGAGTAAAAAGGAACCATTTTAATGTTTACTTTTTCCTTATGCTTTTCTTTGCTCATATAAGAATCCACTGAGAAGTAAAATTTATGCTTCATATTCTACTTATTTTTCCTTCTGCAGAACTTATAGTCAAATACAAAATTTCAGATTTTGAGTTGTATGATTCATCTACATCCCCAAAATATGGATAAACAAATATCTGATTAATGTGTCCGTGCAGTCCTCTAACTTGATCATGAGGAATGCAATAAATAATGGCTTGAGTGTGATACAAAAATTTTCAGATGGTGGAGATTTGCCTTCAAAGACCATGGGCTGAAGCAAAATTATGTGCCAGCTCCATCTGAGCTGTATACAACATTTATATTGGAATTGTTTCTTTGAATTTTGAGATATAATACAAGTCAAATTTGTGAGGAATTTGTTAAAGCACAAAATATTTAATATAATATATACTGTTGGATATATCAGCAAAAATTCTAATTATACGTGGCAGAAGGCCAATTCAAATATATTTGATATACAAAGCTGGCAGATATCACAGAATAGGTAAATTTCTCAAAAAAAGCACATGAGATTTTGGTTACCATTGCAATTCATCTAAACATTTTTTTCTAGTTCCTGCTTCATTCTTTTTATATTTGCTCTTTACAAAGCACTTTCCACAAAGTTGAGCCTCTGTACTCTCCTAAGCTACTTTGATAATAAGAAGATGACAAATTCTAGAGATGGTTCAATTGATGATCACTTGCCTTGTGGGAGGCACATGTGACCAAGGAGAGGAGAATACTGAGAATAAGCATGGTTTCTTGACACAGTGCCCAGCATAAGAATTTACTCCACACACTATGAGATGCTTAACTGAAAATCAGGGCTAGTATAGCATATAGGATCTACGTAAAATTAACTATATTATGAATGTTTTGAAGATCTTAGTGTTTTAAATGGAAAGGCAGAAAAAAAATTAATGTATTCATTAACAAATGACCATAAATACCAATTTCAATGTCAATGTAATGAATTCTATTCTATTTTGCATGAGATTGTAAAGTTCACAAGAAATAATTGTGAAAATTTCAAGACACTTACAAACTGATATTGTAAAGAAGGTCAAGGAGAAGTAGGTAGCATAGGGCCTGACTTGGATGACTAAAGTGGTGGAGATGATAATGGTGACTTACAGTGCATTGTGTACAGGGATGTTGCCCTCCCTGGGAACTTGGCATGCACTTGCTATTTGCCTCTTGACCCCGTGAATCTTAGCTTACCCCAGAAACAAATGCTAATATCTTTATTGACCTAGATTATATAAACCTGTGAATTAATTATTTTGGGGAATCAGTTTACCACTGTATGTATGGGCAAAGTAAAGTCTCTAAGGTGAGAATATTGATTTGAGCTAGTTCTTCTCAGTGAGCTCACTGGCCACACGCCAACCCTGCTTTTGCAATATTATAATTAAACCTCTGTTTCGTATTAACTTGATTTTGTATGTTGTTTGTTCTGTGCTGGACTGGTTCATTTATGTGGGGTCTGAGGGGGATTCTTTTTTATGTCACCCTCTTTTCTGCTGGTGTCTGATATACTTGTTTTGTCCTGGCTTATAGATGCATCACTTCAATCCCTGCCTCTGTCTTTACATGGC